CCCTCCCCCATAGTTGTCTGCACTGACAGCTGGGCTGTCTTTTGGGGCTTGACCCTGTGGCTACCGACATGGTATCATGCCAACTGGATGGTTGTTCACTGGCCCCTTTGGGGGCAAGAGTTATGGCAAGACCTATGGGCCTCTGTCAGACTAAGACTGTTACCGTATATCATGTGACTGGCCATTTGCCTTTGGCATCCCCAGGGAATGATGAAGCAGACACATTGGCCCAGGTGCACTGGCTAGATGGAAAGCCTGCCTCTGATGTGGCCCAATGGCTACACCAGCATTTGTTGCATACGGGGCAAAAGACAATGTGGGCTGTAACCCACCAGTGGGGCTTGCCACTGACCTTTGAAAAAGTCAGCAGAGCCCGGAAGGGGTGCCTTGTGTGTTCTAAGAGGGACTTATACCGAGTCCCACAACAACATGGGGCAATAGTAAGGGGGCCAATACTCCTTGTCAGGTGGCAAATAGGCTGTATTGGGCCTCTGCCCATATCAGAAGGATATCGGTATGCCATGACATGTGCAGACACGGCTACTGGACTATTGGTTGCTTTTCCTGCATGTTGTGCAGATCAGCAAACCATCAAGAGGGGCCTAGAGCATCTCTTTGCAGGCTATGGCCAGTTGCAGGTGATTGAAAGCAAACAAGGCACACATTTTACTGGACATGCATTACAAGAATGGGTGCAGCAATTAGGAATAAAGTGGAAATTTCATGTACCATATAATCCTACCAGGGCAGGCATGATAGGTACAATGGTTTGTCAAAATCTGGCCTGAAGTCAGACACCAATAGTCTACAGGGTTGGTCAGTTAGCCTATGGACGGTGCTGTGGCATCTGAATGAGAAGCCACGTAAAGGAGCTCTTGAGCCCTGTGGATATGCTCACACACCTTGCTGCCTCTCCTATACAATTGTACATCCAAACCAAAGAAGAGCTATTGAAGCCAGGGTACAGCCAGTAGAGCAACATCCTGCTGCCATTCCCTACTGCATTAAGCTCTGGAGACACTGTTGAATGGACCTGGCCCTGGACATTTTGACACATGGACCAGCGATGGCTGGCCCTTCTGGCACCTTGGGGGAAAGGCCTGGCAGCTGGTCTCCTGTGTATTCATGGAGTCACAACTGAATGACCCCCAAAGGTCATGGCAGTGTACCCAAAACATCCAGGAGGTAAGAGCATCTTGTGGTGAAGTTTTATCTTTATAGCCAGTGCATGTACCTCCCGTAGCCCTATGTATCAACCCATCTGTAACTCCCACAGGGAGGGGGGTGAAAGTCTGGTATACTAGACCAGGACAAGATCCCATTCATGCCACTGTCTTATCACAAGACCACTCTCTTGCATGTATCCTACCTGATGGACAAGATTTGCCTATGCTAGTGTCATTAAAACATGTATCTTATTGCCCTTAAGGTTATTTTCTCCTACAGTCCTTGTGGCCTGAATGCGCCCCCTGGCTGCAGCTGCCGCATGATGATTGCTCTCGTATACTGCCTGCCTATTGAATGGACAAGCTACGGACTTAATCTGCATGATTTTGAACGTAGCTGAATCCTCCGGTTTGAGGACTGTCATAATTTTATTGCTGTTGCTATTATTGTGTCATTAGTCTGGTCACAATGCTCCAGTTTTCTCACCCAGGGACCTTTTTGGAAGAAGGGGAAGAAGCAGATTGTAAGGAGAGATTTCTAGAGGGGTGGCCTGTGGGTAAAATTGTAACATTTCCAGAATATCTCTCCCGCTTTACTGTATTTGCATATCCTCAGGGGTGAAGTTAATCTCCGTATCAATGGGTAATTACCTGGGCAACTAAAGTTGTGTGTGAACCTAAGAGGTTAAGGGGAGGGGCTTGCTTGCTTGTGGGTTGGCTTCTTCCAGAGCAGAGGAGAAAGAGCCTGGGACTGCAGTTTGTGAGCAATAAACAGATTTAAACTTTATTTCTCCTTTTGACTGATTTCGGTTTTTAGAGGTGTTTTTGCCCCAGGATTTCCTTTACCCGAACTTACCCTTGCCTTTTGATTCCCACCAAGTGTAGGTTTTTTTTTTTTCTGTTTTAAGATAAAAAAAAATCCTAGCCAATTCAAATAACCGAACCAATTCCAGAAATGAATACTCACTAAATTCATTTAATTAAACAATAACAAGTAAATATCAATAACGTCTACACATCCAAGCACAATATGTCCCCCAAAATGTCACAAGGGAGTTTTTTCTTTAATAGTCCAAAGATGTTAATGAAAATATGAATCAAGTCCAACTTACGTCTTATTTTTTTCCCTCCACAACACAGACACAAGTTGAACACCAGCACCCAGGGGCACAGTGTGGATCAGTTTCAGTGTTTTGTTTTGGTCCTTGCATTTCTGAAAGAATTACACGTTGTAAAAAAGCCAGCAAAAGAAAAATATTTCAAAGGGACTCCAATGGGCGTCTCTAACACGAAAACATTTTTCCGTAACAGAAGTAATGAAAATGCTTGCTTGCGACTTTCCAGGGCCCTCGCTCAGTTCTTGGTGTTTTCAGTGAACGGCAGGAAGATGTGAGAAGGAATCAAGACCGCAGTATTAGAGAACCAAGGAGGTCAAAAGGCCCCAGACCCTTCCCAGCCTTCCATCCTCCTGGCCCCAGTAAATCGATGATAGAAAGTTTGGCCTCAGCGTTTTCCAAGTCTCCCCAGTTGCAATTGTTGTGCCCTCTTTTTTTTCTCTTATTTAAGGGAGAAGAGAGGAATGCTTGATTTCTTTGCACCTAAGGAAAAAAGGCCTTGACTTGCCCTTTCAGCCCACGAGGAAAAGCGACAATCCCTTTGTGGTGGCCAAAAGAGGGAGGTGTTTGTATGTGTCTGTGGGGTACGATAAGAGCTAAGCAATAGGACGATCAGCTAAAATCAACATCGCTACCTGTGGTATTGAGCCTGTGAAAACTGAAACTCTTCCTTAATCCGATCACAGGACTCGGAAGTTGTACATTTTAAGGGTTGAGCAGGCTGAGACGGTGCCTAAAGAACAGTAAAATATTCTTTTAGCCCACATCACAAGCGAGGCAGGGGGTTGGAGAAAACCGCGCGGCGCTGGCGGCGGAGGGGCGGTCATCGCGCAGGCAGGCAGAGCGCGAGGAAAACTCTCCTCCCGCTTCCCCCGCCCCCGCGCCGCACGGCCGGCAAGGGCTGGTTTCGGGGTAGCCCCAAGCCCCCGCTGCCCTCCCCCGCCCAAAGCGAGCGGCGAGGGGCCGGCGTGCCGCACCCACTCCCTCCCTGCCAGGAATGGAAACGGCCCGTGGGAAGCACTCGCGCCGCGGCGTCGGGCCGCAGTCAGGTCGGGGGTCGGAGACACTGCCGCCGCGCGCCCCCCGCTGGGGTCCGGAGCCTGCGGCGCGAAGTGCGGGCAGCCCGCTCTCCCGCGCCGCCGCCGGAGCAGCCGCGCCGCCGCCGAGCGCACCCTCCCCGCCCCAGCGCGGAGTCGCAGCGCCTCCACCTCCCGCCGCGCCCCCCCATAGCTGTCGCAGCGCGGGGACGACAAACGGCTCCTCGCCGCGCCGGGGGCGACGGGGAACCCCCCAGCCTGCGCCGCCCCCGCCGCCCGCGCTCTCCGGTGTCTGCCCTGCGTGTGCAGCTGGCTCCGGCCGCGGCCCATCCAGTGCGGCTTCCTTGGCTGCGCTGGGCCGAGGCGGCCGGCCGGCTCTGAGGGGCGGCTCCGGGAGTCCCGCCCGGGGTCCCGCCCCCCGCCAGCTCTGGCGTGACGCGGGCAGGAACGCGCGCGGCGGCGGCGGCGGCGGCTGGAAGGGTCGCCCCGCATTGCTCGCGGGCGTCACCGGCCCTCCGTGGGCGTCGTCTGGCGCGCGTCTGCCGCGGAGACGCTCCGAGGTTCGCTGGGCGGAGGCGCGCCCGCCGAATACCATCGTCAAACACAAGTAGTTATAAATCATTTACCTCTTGAGGACCTTTTATCTAAATTACATAGAAACTTTCACAACTTAATGAAAAGACAAATAACCCAATTGTAAATGGGCAAATTGTTGGTGGAGTGTTGTGTGTTTTCCTAGGTCATTGTCCCTGCGGCGACAAAGAATTGAAGGGCAGAGACACAGTGGTGAAGCAGAGTGAAAGTTTTATTTACTTAGAGAAGTGCAAGCAGCAGCCTCAGCAAGGAGAGGCGCCCTGAAAGGGTGGGAAGAGAAAGTTTAAGGTTAAAAGGTTACGCACTTAGAAAGTGCGGGCGACTTCACAGAGAGGAGCGCCCGAAAGGTTGGGGGTTCCCCCTTTTAAGGATTCTTTAGGAATGTGACAAAGGAATGGGGGTGCAGACCTGTTAGGTGGTCTCTGATACTTAGAAGTAACAACACAAGGAATTTCCTGCTCTGATTTCTCCCTGCGATGAGGGCATCTTGGTCTGGGAACATACCAAACAGGCTGCCTGCCCAGCCCCCAAAGTGGACTGACATTGTCTGCTAAAGAGTAAGTTAAGAATCTTACATTTTTAACTTCCTGGGTATTAAAATACAGTCTTTAAGATGGAATCCTTCCTGCCTTTTACTATGTTGTTTATGGCTGTGCCTGCATGCTAAATTAGTTGCCTAGGTTACAAACTACTTGATTAGGGCCAGAAGGAGAAAAACAGCATATAGGTAAAGGTAAAGAGAGTCAACTGGGCCTGCATGATTAACACAATAAAGACATGGGCTATGCTGAGGTACCTTCCTTTGGGAAATATTCAAACATTCCAGGCCAAGTTGCTCTTGGGTTTTTGAGCTTTAATTGATTAATTTTGGGTCTTTTTTAGTGGACTTTCTGGTCTTTTTCTCTTCCACCCCGCCCATATCTATTTTCCTGCCTAACAAAATAATCTGGTTAGATGTTTTTCTGAAGAAAATATACAAATGGCCAATACATACATAAAAAGATGTTCAATATCATTAGCAAAATAGGAAACAAAAACCACAACTAGATAATTAACAACGACTAGTATTGATAGGGAAAATTTACAAGGACAGCAACCTAGCGGGTGGCTCCCCTCCACTTCGCCCCCCTCCTCAACCCAAACAAAAAAATACACTCCCTTGGTTTCCCGCTCTGCTGAGCACCGGTTCCCAAGGTTCACTCCCTAAACTCCCTCCCCCTTGCCTGCTCGCTTGCTGCGCACGTAAGAATGTTACAGATAAGGAAGCAGAAGGGTATAAATTGCTCCCTTTGCCTTTGTTAGGGGCTCAAACTTTTTGGGAGATTACTCCCCTCTGAGCTCACCGGTGTGAAATAAAGCCTCAACACTCCAAGAACTCCGAGTGCTGCTTGGTTTTTCCGTCGGTGATCTAGTCCAGGCTTTTTTTCCCCAGTATTTTCCGTAACAGTATGACTATAATCAAAAGTTGGTAAGGCTACAGAGAAATTAGAATCTTCATAGACTGCTACTAAGAGTAGAATGGGTGAATTTTATGTATGTGAAGTACATCTCAAGCTATTATGAAGAAATTATTAGACTAAAAAAATGTTAGGACTTCTACATTCAGCTCCAACGTGTAAAGAGCTGGAAAGGCATCATTCCCATCCTCCAACACAAAATGCTGAAGAAGCTGCAAATGAACAACTTCTCTCACAGCCATCAGAGAGCTGATCTCACAGGCAATCCATTAGCAGATGAAAAGAGAATCACAGACAAGACCAACCAATCGGGAACAGGAACCCCTGGAGACAGTAACTGATAGGTACACTTAAATGGTTAATTTTGATGAATTGCTGAAGGCTGAATATGGACTACATGGTTAGAACTTCTAGGAATATCTTCTGACATTTTTAACTCTCAATCTAACTCTCAGCCTTTAACAATTCATCAGAAATTACCATTTGAGTGTTCCTTATCAGTTACTGCCTCTGGGGAGAGGGGGAAATGAGTTGCTAATCCACAGGTATAAAGTTTCAGTTTTGTAAGATGAATAGAGTCTGGTGGTTTGCTGTACATGTGTCTACAGTTAAGGACACTGTATTGCACAGTTGAAACTGTCAAGAGGATAGATCTCATGTTAAGTGTTCTTATCACAATAAAATAAATTGGCAAGAACGAACTTTTAAAATATATTTAGAGACATATTTTTGGTGAGTATCCTATTTATGTCCAATTTTCATTGAAATTGTTAGATTCTTAATAATAAATCCTGCAGTATATGTATTACAAATATGTTTTCTAATTTATCAAATGCTTTTAAAATTAAAAATAAAAAATTCTGGAGGCTCAGTCTTTGTGGGGATCTCCATGCTTTTGTGGATCTTACCTCCAGAAGCACTTGCAGATCCTCAATGTGAAGATCCGAGCAAAACCCTCTCCTGTTTTAGTCAGGGGGAGGAATATTACCATGCACCTTGCATCTTCCATGCATTTCTAGCATCTTGCCCTTCGACAAAACAGAGTTTTAATTTTATCTGGATTCCTCATCAATGTACTTCTCATGAGAGGAAGACAGTAGATTCAATAGCAAGGCTAAGATTTACATCAGGGCCCTTGCCAAGAAGAAACTAGCCAGCTAGTCTGTTAAGGGAATCTGACATTTTGGTTTCCTGAAATCCTTTTTTTTTACTTTATAGATCAGTTGTCTTTATGAAAAAATAGGAACCCAAGAAAACATCAAAATTTTTATTTTAAGTAAAAGGATAGTCACATTAGGCCAGTTCACTTGAAGAGTTCAATTACTTTTGAAATAGAACTTTGCTGCTTATAGACATGACAATTAAATAAATCAAAAATGAAGTACCAAATGTCTTTTGCTCATCCTTTCATAGAACAAATATGTTACAGTATTGTTCTAAGATATCTTTACCAATTCTTTATAAAATCAATAATTGAATAAGAGGCCCATGATTAATATTTGAATATAGTTGAGGATTTTTACTTGAAATAGAAGTACTTTCCTACTCTACACACATCTCCTTTTCTGTCTTTTTCTCCTCTGCAGCTTAAAGAATGATATTGAAATTCCTACTTAAGGACTGAAATAAACAAATCACCCCCAAATTCATAGTACCAAACTAGTAATACAAGTGTCGGTACACCTGTTCTTGTTATTTGTATAACACTTAATCATTTATGCTTCCATATATATTGATTTACACAATACCTTCAATAACATCTGTGTATAGGAGCAACAGGTATTCCAGACTGGTATTCAGTAGAGAAGAAAAACAAGACTTTGAAAGATTCTTGTCCAGAATCACAAAACTGGTGAGTGGTATTTCCTCACCTCCCATTCTTAAACATCAAACTTTATGTACAACTCCCACAGATGACCATGAAATGTTAGCATTTCTGCCCAATAAATCTTAGTAAATACAGGAGGAGAAGCTTTTCAAAGATTATGCAGCACCCTTTAGATTTCTTTTTTGTGACCTATACTAGGCAAATGAAATCCCTCAAGCCATAAAAGAATATTAGAAGCAATTGGTGACTCTGTTAACTCTCACTAAGAATTATCACTTAGGAGTTCTTCCTTGGACAACGTAAAAGAAACCTTCATATATGAACCTTTACAATGGTCTCTTGTTAAACTTATGATTAGAGGCATATATTTGAAGCTTCAAAGCTATCACACAAACTGTAAGGCAGTTAACTTTAATCAACCCAAAATGGAAAGCTGGGTAATACTTATACATACAAATTTGTATGTGAAGGGTTAACAACTGATAACTCCCACACTTGGAAAAGAATCATAGTATCATTTAGGAGAAAATTGTTAATATCACAGTTAAAACCACACACACACACACACACACACACACACACACACACACACACACACACACATACACCTCTTTAAAAATGCCAGGAAATGGCATTTAATTTTTATTAATTCACTCTAAAAATTTTTAAGACCAAACTAACCTATCATAAACTGAGAATTGAGCATGTAAGTTGTTATTTTTTTATTGAAATATAGCTGACATACAGTATTATACTGGTTTCAAGTGTGTAACATAGTGATTCAACATTTACCTAACATTATTAAGTGCTCACCCCAATAAATGTAGCTACTATCTGACAATATACAGAGATATTACAATATTAACTATATTCCCTATGCTGTACTTTTATATCCCCATAACTAGTTGATATTATAATTGGGATTTTGTGCTTTATCCCTTTCACCTATTTTATCCACCCACCCATTTCTCTCCCCCATGGCAACCAACAGCCTCTTCTCTGTGTCTTTGAGGCTACTTCTGTTTTTTGTTTTGTTTTATTTGATTCCACATATAAGTAAAACCATATAGTATTTGCCTTTCTCTATTTTATTTCACTTAGCATAATACCCTCTAGATCCATCTTTGATGGTGCAAACAGCAGAATCTCTATTTCATGGCTGAATAATACTCCATTGCATATATGTACCACTTCTTCTTTATACATTCTTCTATCAATGGACACTAAGGTTGTTTCTATATCTTGCCTATTGTAAATAATGCAGCAATGAACATCAGGAGTGCATATATCTTTTCAAATCGGAGATTTTGTTTTCTGCGTAAATTCCCAGAAGTGTAATTGCTAGTTTGCATGTTTCTATTTTTACTTTTTGAGGAACCTCCATACTATTTCCTATAGTGGCTGGACCCAACATTCCCACCAACAGCATAGGAGGCATTCCTTTTTCTCTACATCCTTGCCAATGCTTGTTTTCTTGTTTTTTGGATAGTAATCATTCTGACTGGTGTGAGAGGATATATCATTGTGGTTTTGATTTGAATTTTCCTGATGTTGAGTGATGTGGAGCATCTTTTCTGTGCTTGTTGGCCATTGGTATGTCTTCTTTTGGAAAATGTCTATTTAGGTCCTCTGTTCATTTTTTAATTTGGTTTTTGAGGTTTTTCTGGTGTGCAGTTACATGAGTTCTTTATATAGTTATTAGACTCTTCTTGGATAGATCATTTGCAAATATATTAGCCCATAAAGTAGGTGCCTTTTCATTTTGTTGATGGTTTCCTTTGCTGTACAGAAGTGTTTCAGTTTGATATAGTGCCACTTGTTTATTTTTGCTTGTGTTTCTCTTTCCTGGGGAGACATATCCAGAAAAAAATTACTAATGCTAGTTTTAAGAGATTCCTACCTGTTTTCTTCCATGTGTTTTATGGTTTCATGTCTTACATTTAGGTCTTTAATCCATTTCAAGTTTATTTTTGTGTATGGTGTAAGATAGTGATCCAGTTTCATTCTTTTGCATGTAGCCATCTGGTTTTCCCAACACCATTTACTAAAGAGACAGTCTTTTCCCCATTTATATTTTTGCCTTCTATGTCATATATTAATTGACAATACATGCATGGGTTTATTTCTGGGCTCTATGTGTTGTCCCACTGATCCATGTATCTAGTCTTGTGCCAGTGCCATACTGTTTTAATCATGTAGCTTTGTAATATAAT